GCCATAACTTTCTCATTGCTTATCGAAATTGGGCATATGAATTATTGTTGGAAGCTCATGAACCAAACTATCACCTCCAACTTGAATTACCTCAAAATTACTTGTAGTTTTAGAGAAATCTGTATTGAAAGTTTGCTCTACTAGATTTCAAGTCACAATCTAACAAATAAATAATGTGACCAAAACAAAACAAACATCAAATACTCCCTCCGTGTTTTTTTAAGTGATACATTTTCCATTTCTGGCCGTGTTTTTTTAAGTGATATATTTCCTTTTTTGGCAAAATAATACATTAAAATATTATATCTCTCTCCTCTCATAGTCCCCACCCAAACCCACTACTACTATTTTATTATATCTTTCATCTCACATTCATTACTTTTCAATAAACTATTAACCCCACTATCTTTTTTTAACAATTCTTTAATACTCCACTACCCCACTTACCTCTTATTTTATTTAAGTCAATTAAATTGCCTAAAACTATGTGCCGGTCAATATGTATCACTTAAAAAACACACGGAGGGAGTATGTTATACAAGTAATTATTTTAAGTCCAACAATTGTTAATATTATTATAAGTATGTCGAAAGTATGTAGCTAAATAAAGATTTTCAAACAACTTAAACAGTATAGATATAGATAAATTAATGCAATAATTATAGGTGAGACACGTATTAAGTATAACATTGATTTAAATCTCGAGAAGGTATTGCGTCATTCCGAATTGACAATATGTTTGGTTAATCCAACGGACTTTTAATATCTTATATTGGATAGATGATATCCTCTATTGAATGGATGATATCCTCTATTGGCTATATGATATCATATAGTCAGTAGAGAATATCATCCAGTCATGATATCATATAGCTAATAGAGGATATCATTCAGCCAATAAAGAATATCATAGACACAATCATAAATAATATCATATAGCCAATAAAGAGTATCATCCAACTAATAGAGAATATCATCTAGACAATAAAGAATAGCATATACACAATCATAAATGATATCATATAGCCAATAGAGGATATCATCCAACCATAATATCATATAGCCAATAGAGGATATCATCTAGATGATATGTATAAATGATTGGAGGATATAAATTATTTGGAGGATATGAATAACTTGTTTGAGGATATATATAATTTGTTTGAGGATATATGTATAATAATGGCGGAACCTCTATTGAAGAGCTCGTTTCTCAACCAAATAAAATATATGCATTTGTCATCAAAATGCTCACAATTCAATATACAATCATATGAGACAAACAACTTCAACAATTATACATCGCATAATAAAGGTCAATTCGATTTTTTAGGCATTTTTCGAAAAATCCGAGAATCAAACATTCTCTCTATTTCGCCATGAATGACCTCGCTTCTCTCCTTCGCCATTAATGTCGTCGTCATCGCCGCCTACAAAGAGATAAGGAGATCCACCATTGTTGTCGTCATCGTCATCGTCATCGTCATCAAACATTCTCTCTATTTCGCCTTGACTGACCCAATAGTTTTTATTAAATCTCAATCTAAAATCATAATTCTGATATTTGGAAAAAGTTAGCACAAACATCTATCTCGTTATGTATTATGGATAGACTTGTCAGTTCAGATCAACGGGTCGAATTCGGGTCAAATTTTAGATTTTTTGGGTCGTTTGGTTCGAGTGGTTTGGATTGATAGGATCATTACAAATTATGATAAATTGGTCAAATTGGGCTATTTCGGTCATATGGGTAGGATCGGGTTGGATTTAGGTTCTCTCTCAGTAAAACGGATTTAGCATTGAGTCGGGTCAGGATTTAACAAGTTTAACTATGGAGCCATGTGCTTACCTTGCATGCTTACCACTAACTAAATTAAGTAATAAGAAATGAACCTATGTATTATTTCTCCGTTTATGTAGTGATATACTTTATTTGTTTCACAAGTATTGCAATAATGATGAAATTACGTATTTATAAAACATATTTTATACAAGAGTAAAAAATATAAAAGTAGATATTGTGAAAGTATTTTACGAAAAGAATCTAACAAGACCACATGTGACTATATTTTACTTTACGTATAAATCTTAATATGTGATCAGACAAGTGTGATGTGTAAAAATCCAGTTGTTGCAATATTATATATTAAGAATATGTTCTGATTTACTGAACTGAACTTATTGGAGCTTAATTGAATATTTTATGGAAGAAGGAAATTAAGAACTAAACTGAACTGAACTGAATTTATTGGAGTTGAACTAAGAATAAGATGAAGTGAACAGACCCTAAATACCTACAAAATGTAGATAAGAATTCAATTTTTTTTTTCATATACTATGTTTATTTATATTAATTTATCATCAATCTCCATGCTTTTTAGATAGTCTTAACTCTTCGTCAGATTTAAAAAACAGAAGGAGAAAAAAAATAGCATATGAGCGGATCATAAAACGAGGTGGAACAGGCGAATAGTATAGCAATGTCAAATTTCCAAGACTCACTTGTACGGTTATACCACATATATACATGCCCAAGATATATTTTGTTCGTTGTTAAACAACCAATTTGGAGCTTTTGCGTCACTGAATCCCCGTGCCCATCTCCCAAGGATTCTTTTTAAGGTTTATCTCTAGTCTCTGGTTTCCTTGGGTTCAAGGCTTCTTTTGGACGGTCGAAAAATACACATAGTACAAAGTTTTTTATTGTTTTTTCATTTTATTTTACTTCTTTCTCATTACTATGTACTCCCTCTATTTTTTAATACTTATTCCACTTTTTTTTTTCGACCGTTTTTAAATACTTGTTTTATTTCTTATTTTAGAAAGCTTTTACAATATTTATATCATTTCTTACACTTAGTGGACTCAACATAATACTCTCTCTCCTCCTATTCTTCCACTACTTTTATTTTTTACAATTTTTTATTTTAATTTCCTTCTCAATTACCCCACTACCTCCATATTTTATTAATTTCTTTAATTTCTCCTAAAACTCCGCGCAGGAAGAAATAGAGTAAGTATTAAAAAACGGAGGGAGTACATTTTACTGCTTCTGTTTTCCTTTATTTGTATCAGTTTGACCGGCACATTTGCCGAGACGCAACTTTGAACATTAATATCTTTACATGTTAATTATTAAATTATAACAAAATTATAATATGAAACTAGACATTATGACAAATCTAATGATATTTTATATAATAACAATTATTTATTTTATAAAGGTGAAAAAAATTAAGTCAAGCATGATATGTGAATAGTGCAAAAATTAAAGTGATGCATTTAAAAAAACAGAGGGAGTATCATTTTCATCTTATAAATGTTTTATCATTTTCGTCTTATAAAAACATTTCAAACAAACATAACTAACAAATAAGAACATTCAAATTATAAATTAGTGCACATTAATACAATTATACAAATTTTTTGATATTTTATTTAATAATATTTCATTTTACAAATTATTGTACACTTTAGATAAAACTCAGAAATCTGATCAAATAAATTAATACTACCTCCGTTACAGGTTATGTGCAACGATTTGACATAAAGCAGAGAGGAAATATCTAATCATTGCACATAAACTGTAACAGAGGTAGTAAGATGAGATGAGAAAATTCAAATCAGATCAAATAAGATAATGTAACGTGTGAATATCCGTACGGAATGATTGGTTGGTGCTTGGTACAAATTCTTAAATGGATCTGGTTCATACTAATTTATTGTGGACCACTAACATTAGAGAAAGTATGGTTGTTTTATTAATAAAAAAAAAGGTCACTATAATTTAAAAAAAGTTCACTATGTTGAAATAAAAATCATTTTGGTAATATATATAGGCCTAAGTGGTTATTTTTTTTAATGAAATATTTTATATACTGATCAATATGAATAATAAAGGCCACTATGTTAAATTTAGGGTAATAGCGTCGTATTCCAAGTTCACAATATTATTAAACGTTGTAGTAGTTTTAACACAGTAACCTTATTTTTAACATAGTAACTTTTACGGATTTTTCACCAAATACCATTGAGTTTAAGCTTAATTCATCGTATACCACCAAAAACTTTGTAATACACCATATAACCTTCAGTTTTATGGAAATGTCACAACATGCCATTAATGACTAACGGAGGTTAACACCGTTAGTCATTAAGGTTCATAATGCCACGTGGCAGCTTGTGATTTGTTCCCTTTTAAATAATTTAATTTAAAATAATTATTTAATTAATTATTGAAAAAATAAAAAATAAAAAGAAAAAAAACTACCACCACCAACGTTCCCCCAGCGAGCCACCACCAACGACACCCCCTGTCAGCCACCACCAACGAACCCCCTCGCCGGTGCGAAATCCGACCAGGACCTCCGCCGGCGCTCCTCCTCTTCCCCTTGTGCCTCCCTCGAAAACCCCATTGAATCACCTCAAAAACCCCCTACCTCACTCGAAAAACCGTCCCCTAAACACCGGCCGACGTCGAAACCCCCCTCCCCCGCGTCGGCGAACGAATTCGCCTTATACCGATGCCATCTCCACCCCATTGAACCACCACGTATGCCGAAACCCTAAAACCAAAATCTAGGGTTTCGATTTTGGTGTTTTGGGGTTTCGTGGTGGTGGTTTTTGGCAAGTTTCGTGGTGAAGGCTAGAGGGGTTAATCGGGGATGGGATGGAGGTTTTTGGCCGTTTTGCGAAGGTTAGAGGGGTTAATCGAGGCTGGGATGGAGGTTTTCGGTGATTTGCGAAGGATAGAGGGGTTTTTCGAGGCTGGCTGGTGTTTTAAGGGTGGTGGTTATGGTGGTTTCGAGGGTAGGATTTGGGTCAAGGGGTGATTTCGAAGTTGGACTTAGATCAGCGGGGTGGTTGTTTGTATTGGGGGGTTCCGGCCGGCCGATTTCGAGGGTTTAGGGTGGCGGTCGGCCAGTTTTAGGTGGGCCTAGGGTAAGGGTTAGGGTTTCGCGGTGGCTTGGGAGGTGGGGGTGGGTGGTGGGTTTTTTTCATTTTTTTTTACATATTTTTGTTTTTGTTTTAACTTTTTTTATTTGGACCAATTATTGAGTGCCACGTGGCATTATTAAACTTAATGACTAACGGTGTTAACCTCCGTTGGTCATTAATGGCATGTTGTGTCATTTTCATAAAACTGAAGGTTATATGGTATATTAGAAAGTTTTTGGTGGTATACGGTGAATTAAGTTTAAATTTAGTGGTATTTGGTGAAAAATCCGTAAAAGTTACTATGTTAAAAATAAGGTTATTGTGTTAAAAATAAGGGTCACTATGTTCAATATAATGTAAATTGCGTGTGTATAGACCTCGGGTCCACAATAATATTATTGTGGACCAGGTCCACACAAGTCTTTTTGGGTGCTTGGTGTCGTTGTGAGGGTATTAGGGCCTTAGGGAATGACTAACCTAAGATTGAACTCATGAGTCAAGAGTCAAACTTTCACATTCTAAAAGTTTTTTATTTTATTTTTTTATTATTTTTTTTTTTTTAGGAAGCAAAAGATCAGTACTTGCATTATTAATTTATTTAATTTGAGGACAAAACACGAGCACAACATTCTCATCACAATCAAACCGAAGCAATATAAAACAATAGAATATCAACAATATCATAACCGAACCGTTAGCAAGAGTTCAAGACAGCCTCACCTTGAGCAATATCAAGCACCGCATCTTCCTGGTAGCACCAAACGAGAAATTTCCATTCTTCGCCACAGCTCCGACTCCCACCCATCCATCCTCGTGCAAGGAATCTTCGCAATTCACTTTAACCATACCCAAAGATGGTGGCAGCCACACCTTGGAACTCTTACACATACAACTACTTACAAATCCGAAGATACAAGGTGCATGTATTAGCACAGCCAGGTACTCAGTTCTATTCGCTGCTTAATAGTTAAAACTTCATACTATTGAATTACGTATTTTGAACAAAAGAAAAAACATTGTTAACATAAAGTAGAAAAAAATGAGGTACATGGCAAACATTAAGGGTCGGAGGGAGTAGAATATAGCCTAAAGCAAGAGACTTGCCCATGTAGAAACTCGCAAGAAATCACGGTCGGCATCTCATTTATCCATATCAAGCAGTTCAGCTGATTAAAAAACACTCGAAAACTGATAAGTTATAACACACAATAATTAACAAAAATACACTTAACTTATTTTACATGAAAGAGCGAGGTGCTCCTTAGCTTATAATGAGGATCGTATCTACGACAAATGCCTCCACATTGCTGGACGGTCTCTTGATATCAGCAGAACCTGGGAAGAGAGGCAATCAAATGAAGGAGAATACAAGTCATCCGGGCCAATAATTTCCTTGGCACTCTGTGGACTAGTATAGTCGCTAGCAAATGAAGGCAAACCATCATCTTTTAAAGCATCAAAAACAAACAACCCAAGTCCACAAACGGCCATAACCATGTTTCCGTTCCCCCAAACTTGGGTCAGCGCTTTGTGATGCGAATGAGCGTTGGATTCAGGTAAGGTATAGGTGTTCACTATCTTTTGCTTACGTAAAGAGAATTGTTGCACCTGTGAATTCACCTGCTTCTTTACAGCTGAGACAACACTACTGCAGCCAAGAAACACGGAATCTCCTCGAGAAGAGACAGATTGAACAGTTACACCAATCCTAGGTATCTTAAGTCCGATACCAGATGGCTGACGGAAGTCAAGGACGTTAATGGAATCAGCAGTGCAGAAGACACCATCATTTCCTTCCGCTTCTGATGAACTTGCTCTGTACATCAAACAGCAACCAATTTAAACAAAGAAAACTATCACATGCTCTTATCTGATCAATAGGTTGGTATAATTTTTCTTATCCCACTATACTTTCAGCAATACACCCCTTTCCCCCACCAAACACACACCAGCAGAAACATAGAAGATACTCATTAATTTTCGCAAATTTTAAATCATTGCATTGCCAGGATGAGTTTATTGCTGTTAAAAATGATTAATTCCATAAATCCACTGATACAGTAAGGCATATTTCGTAGTGAGCAGGAAATGTGCACTTAACAAGAGAGAAACTAACCTTTGTCGGACTCCTCCACCCAATTCAGCATCAGTATTATTCACATGAAGAGCTGATATCCTGCGACCTGAGGTAGAAACAGATAACAATGCTCGAGGATTTAATGAGTTGACATCCCACAGAGATATAGCATCTGCTTCTGCTATAACAGCTTTTCCTCTGTTTCTCCACTGCAATGGACTAGAATAATCCATTGGTAGCACAGGCTTTTGAACATCCCACCTCATAATTTGCTCGCCATCACGGATGTCAAATACTTTAACAGCTTTCTGGCAACTAGCAGTGGATATAATTAAAGGTCCACAGGGTCTATACCACCATTGGAGGTTTTCAGAGGACATGATATTAGATGGAGCATTCCTTCTGTACATAATGTTATCACGTAACCGACCAAGAGCTACTCTTGGGCTGGTTGTATTATCCTCAATGTGAAAAGCTCGCACATCTTTGGTATAAAAGTCCCATGAACAGAACCCTGAGTCCATAGTATTTCCTGCAGAAGCAGCCACCACATACTTTCCAGAGCAACCATCAGCACTAGGGGCGCGAATTATCCAGCAGTCCCTCCATATGTTTTCTGAAATTCCTGCCGGTGGCCTGTATTCAGCTTTCTCCTGGGAAATTGATGATAAATTAACATCTCATATATTGTCCAATCCTAATAAGGCCCAAATAAGGAATACTTGAGCAATTCTTGAGTTAAGGGTCTTGCTTAATGTTGAATTGCAGAAAGAAGGTAAACAATGATAGATAGTACTCCATAAAATTTCCATCAAACATGACAATTTTCAATTGACAACAGTATACAGGAATAAAAATTACCGAAAGCCATAAAGACTCAACATTTCAACAAGAAGTGAATGCACTTTGACTATATGCTGCACTGATACAGTATGTTATCAAAAGTAATTTGCATCTCCCAAAGACTCTTATGTAGTATGTAAGTATGTAACTGGCAAAATTCAAATTAAAATGCTAACAGAATTCAGAATTTGTAATAAAAAACATACCTCGTGGTTCGCAATATCATAGAAAGAACATGAACCATCATCATGAGCTAGAAGAACTGATTCTCCTTCCGATACAAACCATCCTCCAGTAGAAGTCTTGCGCCCAATTTCTATCAGCTGAGTAATGGAATTATCATCCATCTCTTCATCAACTATCATTTTTTGCTTATTCTCTTGATCATCAAATTCATCAAGTGTCTCGTCAGCTTCCAAATCTACTTCCGCAGTACTTTTTCCACCCAATACACCTGAACTCCGTCGTGTTGTTGAAGTTTCAGCATCATCTGCTTCATGAACTTTATTAGCATCCAAAATAGCTTCTACATCTTTCATATCAACCTTAGACTGTGTCTTAGTTAAAGAAGCCAGGAACTCCATTGCTATTGGATCCTCATCCATAGGACACTCTGCGTCATCTTTGGAATTAGATTCGTCATTGGTTTCTAACACATGGGTTCCATCACTTTGAGAGCCATAATCTGCCACTTTCATTGTAGTCCGATTTCGCAACAATTTGTGATGAGGGAAAAGCCTAGCTTCTAGCTCTTCACAACTCAAGCTTTTCACTGATACTTTTGAAGAATCACCTTGCACATTTCGATTCTCCTCTTTTATTCCGTGTAAGCTATCAATTTCAGTGTTCTTTAAATTATCCGAATTACTAGAACTATCAGCAGTTCCATGTGATTTAGATTCACTCATCACATTGCCCATGGCTTTCTCAATACCCGAAATCTTCTCCTGAATATCCGAAAGTATAACCTTAGACGCATCGGTATTGTTCATATCAAGCATCTCCTTCGTCTTCTTTATATCGGTAGCAATTCTCTTCACCTTCCCTTCCAAATACGCAAGCTTCTCGTGCAACTTACTAGCGTGCTTGTTCCCAACACGCCCACTCGTTCCCTCCTCGATCACACCCTTTTCTTTACCACCATCCACGCCCTTCGAAGCACTCGAGACTCTCACACTCTTCTCCATATTAGAACAACCAACATTAGCCTTCAAATCGACAATTTGATTCACATTTTTCAATTCACAGGGATCAAATCCTTGAACTTTATTAGTCTCATTAACACACCCATCACTTAAATTATTAACATTTACCTTTACAGAATGAACAGAAGATAAATTATCATCTTTTCTACCACTAATTTTCCCAACATTTGCAACTTCTTTTCCATCAATAGAAACCCTACTTCCACTAATTTTCTGATTCAAATCCCTAAACCCCTTTTTATCCAAAACTTTAAACCCACTAACCCCCTTCAACCCAGAAATCTCACCCCTTCTAGCAGAATCACTCCCACTAGCAACCCTAGTTTTTCGCATATCAGACAAAACTCGAGTAAAATCAGAGGGATTAGAATTAGGGTTAGGGTTAGGGCTAGGACTCCTCCTACCTCGAGATCGAGACCGTGTTTCGACATCAGAAACTCTTGGCATTGACCGAATCACAGGCTTCTGAGCTCCGCCGGAAACCCTAGAAACCGATCTAGGGTTAGGGTTTTCCTTGCCGATTGATTTCCTTCCACTAGTAGCTAAAGAGGGTTTTTCAGAAATTGGGGTTAGGGTTTTATTGGGTATTGAAGATGCAATCTTTCCGACAGATCCTCCCCTTTCTTTGATCCGCCGAGTTGATGATGACGACATTGATTAGATTTAATTGATTTTGAATTTTAGGGTTTTGAATTTTGTTTTTTTTTTTTTGGGGAAGTTTTGATTTTTGAAGAAGGCGGAAAATAAGAGGAGAGAGAAAGAGATGACGAAAAAAAAAGGTAAAATTTGAGAGGTGAGCGGGAAAGAGAGTGTTTTTAATTTTTTATGTTTTTGAGTTTGAATTTTGTTGAAAAATGTGTTACGTTTTTTTTTTTTTTTTTTTTTGGTGGGTTTGATTTTTTCGATGGTTGTGTTTGTGTAACTTGTGTTTGATGGGGTGACCAATTTCATCTTCAAAGGCCCACGAGCTTTTTCATGATTTGGGTTGTTGTGTGAAAAACGGGAAAAAAAATTATTAGCTCAATTCTAATACTTTGTATCATATATATATCATATAACTAATATATAAAGCTAAATTTTTAGCCATGTCACGAGGCAGTTGGGTAGATTTAAATAGACTTCATAAGATAAAAATCAGTGTCTTAGGTAGACTTTATAAGATAAAAACGTTAGTTAAAAATTCCATTTTCAATCAAATTAGGATAGAATTTTAGAATAAGTTTGTTGTTTAGAGTTTTATTTTCGATAAAATACCAAATAATAAACTTATAATTAGGCCACAAGACAACATCATCATTTAGCGTTTTAACTTTTCGCCAAGTGTCGTACCATGTTCGATAAATATAGATAGATTTTATAGCAAAAAAATGTTAATTTAGAATTCTATTTTCAATCAAATTGAATTATAAAATAGTTTTATCTTAAAAGTCTAAACTTTTAGCCAGGCGACGAGGTAGCGACATTTGGCGTTCTAACTTTTCGCCAAGTGTCGCGCCACGTAGGATAGAGTTATATAGAATTCAATTTGTAGAATAAAAAACTTAATTTAAAATTCTATTTTCAATCAAATTTGGATAGAATTTTAGGATAAAATTTTTAATTTAGAGTTTTATTTTCGATAAAGTACCAATATTTCATATGTATAAATTAAATTATAATTTTATTAAAAAAAATTATAACACTCATAAATTATCATATAAATTTATTTTTTGTATCATAGTATTTTTTTGGAGCGAAGGAATTAGCTCAAAATATACCACATCCATTATTTATAATTATATATTCTAATCAATTAAAACAATATACTTTACAATCTAATATAATTTTATTACTGTGTGTAGACCTGTCAATCGGGTCGGGTCACGAGTCATTTCGGACAGGGTCATTATTTCAGGTTACGGGTCAAGAAATGTTTTTCACCAATGTTATTATTATTAGTCATTACATGCCTACTATATAGTTTAAATCATCACAAAAACACATCAATTCCTAACTAATTTTGTATCAATGATATGTTTTAAAATTTGAAATATAGATTAAAAATTTATCTTAAAATTCAATAAACAACCCGGGCATCGCACGGGCACAAAACTAGTAACTATATAAAGCTAAACTTTTAGCCAGATTGCGAGGCAGCGACACTTGGCGTTTCAACTTTTCGCCAAGTGTCGTGCCACGTTGGATATATTTAAGTAGACTTCATAAGATAAAAAAATTAGTTTAGAATTTTATTTGGATAGTATTTTAGGATAAAATTGTTAGTTTAGAATTTAGTTTCGATAAAAAAACCAATACTTCAGATGTACAAATTGAATTATAATTTTATTCAAAAAAATTATTAGATTATAATTTTCAAAACTTATCATATAAATTTATTTTTTATATCATAATATTTTTTTTTAGCGAATGAAGTAGTTCAAAGCGTAAATATCTATTTATGATATATACTAATCGGTTAAAATAATATACTTCACAATCTAATAGAATTTTATTACTATATAGACCTCTCAATTAGGGTCGGTTTATGAGTCATCTCGAATTAAGTCACTTTAGGTTATGAGTCAAAAAATGTTCAACCCTTACCCAAAGTTTTGGTTTCAGGTTAATCCAACTGATTTTGTACATTTATTTTATTTAATTTATTTTTCGCTAATTTTTTATATTTTTAATGTATTAAATCGAACATTTTGGAAAGAAAGTCAATGTTCTTGCCCCTGATTATAAAAATTGTCTATTTTTCTTAGACCCACCTGCTTTTTCACGCTTTCTTGCTCAAACCAAAATTTCTCTATTAAAAGTTCGCCATAAAGAGTACATGAATAGTCCATAAGTCAAAGCGTTACAGATACATAAGACATAATTTCTTAACATTTGTATAAGTTTCAAATGTTAAAATCAAAGGAGGTAGCACAATTCACTTGACACGTGATTTTAATTCATCCAATAAAAAAATCATAAATAGCAATAAATTTGTAAAGCAATTGAAGAAAGACAGAGAGAATACCTGGATAAGAAGGTTGAGGCCAAGAAGGAGGCTGAAATGGAGGAGAATTAGGGTTTTCCAAATTACAAAGCCAAATAACATCATCAACTTTCTTACCAATTTTGGGAACATGTAAATGCTCATCTGCCTAGAACTCTCATAAATTATCATATAAATTTATTTTTTGTATCATAATATTTTTCTGGAGTGAAGGAATTAGTTCAAAATGTACCGCATCCATTGTTTATAATATATTCTAATCGATTAAAATAATATACTTCACAATCTAATATAATTTTATTACTGTGTGTAAACCTGTAAAGGTCAGGTCACCAGTCATTTCAGGCAGGGTCATTATTTCAGGTTAAGGGTTAAGAAATATTTTTCACCAATATTATTATTATTAGTCATTACATGTCTACAAGTTTAAATCGTCACAAAAACACATCAATTCCTAACTAATTTTGTATCAATGATATGTTTTAAAATTTGACATATAGATTAAAAATATATTTTAAAATTCAATAAACAACCTGGGCATCGCACGGGCACAAAACTAGTATGATATAAAAAGGATTTGATCCGAAATCTTTAGTATTATCCCTAGAACATTAATCAGAGAATCAATTTCATCTTCAAAGTCTCACGAGCTTTTTCATGATTTGGATTGTTGTGTGAAAAACGAAAAATAAAATAAAATTGATTTGCTCAATTCAAATACTTTGTGTATGATATTAAAAGGATTTGATCCGAAATCTTAGTATTATCCCTAGAACATTAATCAATTACAGATTAAGGGTTTTGTTCTTTTCAGATTCAGTTCAGTTCCTAATTTTCAACTAAGCGCATTTCAACTCAATTCAGTTTAGTTCACTTCAACTTGGCTCATCTCAGTTCAATTCAGTAAATCAGATCAGGCCAGTACAAGTATTAGTAGAATAGCAAAAATGCGTTCCTCGTCATGTCATTAATATGTTTTATGTTTGCTCGCGGTAATTGTAGCCTCTCGGGAGAATCAATGACTGCATCTTTGATGCACTGCTAGTACATCCGAGAATTCTTAGTTGGCTAGTTGTAAATAGCCCCGAACAAAAGATTATCCCGCACCTACACTGAAGTATTGACGGAGATTTTCAAATAGCGCAGAACAGAATGAGAATGTGATACGACGAGATAGAAAAAAAACAGGGAAGGGGTCACTCACTTACCTACTCTTAACGGTCAAAGCGAGCCCCTTCATTCTGAATTAAAGAATGAAGAATGAATCCAATCTCCCCAAGTAGGATTCGAACCTACGACCAATCAGTTAACAGCCGACCGCTCTACCACTGAGCTACTGAGGAACAACGGGAGACTCGATCTGATAGAGTTCCATTCCCGTTCTCAAACCATGACCAATATGAGCTCGAAGCTTCTTTCGTAACTCCCAGAACTTCTTCGTAGTGGCTCCCTTCCATGCCTCATTTAATAGGGAACCTCAAAGTGGCTCTATTTCATTATATTCCATCCATATCCCAATTCCATTCATTTAATATCCCTTTGGTGTCATCAACATAAGAGATGTGGGTTCTAGTCTATCTCTTTCCTATATATGGAAAGTTAAAAAATCATCATATAATAATCCAGAAATTGCAATACAAAAGAAAAAGGGAGGTTTGTGATGATTTTTCAATCTTTTCTACTAGGTAATCTAGTATCCTTATGCATGAAGATAATCAATTCGGTCGTTGTGGTCGGACTCTATTATGGATTTCTGACCACATTCTCCATAGGGCCCTCTTATCTCTTCCTTCTCCGAACTCAGGTTATGGAAGAAGGAGAAGAAGGAATCGAGAAGAAGGTATCAGCAACAACTGGTTTTATTATGGGACAACTCATGATGTTCATATCGATCTATTATACGCCCCTGCATCTAGCATTGGGTAGACCTCATACAATAACTGTCCTAGCTCTACCCTATCTTTTGTTTCATTTCTTCTGGAACAATCACAAACACTTTTTTGATTATGGATCGACTAGCAGAAATTCAATGCGTAATCTCAGCATTCAATGTGTATTCCTGAATAATCTCATTTTTCAATTATTCAACTATTTCATTTTACCAAGTTCAATGTTAGCCTGATTAGTCAACATTTATATGTTTCGATGCAACAACAAGATGCTATTTGTAACAAGTAGTTTTGTTGGTTGGTTAATTGGTCACATTTTATTCATGAAATGGGTTGGATTGGTATTAGTCTGGATACAGCAAAATCATTCTATTAGATCTAATAAGTACCTTGTGTCAGAATTGAGAAATTCTATGGCTCGAATATTTAGTATTCTCTTCTTTATTACCTGTGTCTACTATTTAGGCAGAATGCCGTCACCTATTTTTACTAAGAAACTGAACGAAACTCCAGAAACGAAAGAAAGTGAGGAAGAAACAGATGTAGAAATAGAAAAAACTTCCGAAACGAAGGAGACTAAACAGGAAGAAGAGGGATTCACCGAAGAAGATCCTTCTCCTTCCCTTTTTTCGGAAGAAAAGAAGGATCCGGACAAAATAAAAATGGATGAAATGGGAAAGATCCGAGTGAATGGAAAGGACAAAACAAAGGATGAATTTCACTTGCACTTAAAAGAAGCATACTATAAAAATAACCCAACTTCTTATTCTGGGAATCAAGATATTTCGAAGTTCGAAATACTTAAAGAAGAAAATAAAAACCTATTCTAGTTTCAAAAACCCCTTCTTTTTCTTCTTTTCGACTATAAACGTTGGAATCGTCCAACGCGATATATAAAAAGCTATCGGTTTGAAAATGCGGTAAGAAATGAAATGTCACAATATTTTTTTTATACATGTCAAAATGATGGAAAACAAAGAAT